TAAAGGATATAGCTCTGGACTGTTTATGAAAGATGCATGCAGCCATAAACCTGCATTCTTTATAACAGCCAGCAGGGGGAGTCTCCTTTAGTTCCAATTGTATAAAAGTCTATTAGGAAAATAAGCCTACATTTCACTTGATTTGTTGCTTCAGTAAACAGTTTTCTAATGAGTTTATGGTCTCTATCGCTAGTTCTACGTCTCCTTCAACTCAGCATGATGTTCATTTAGTAAATTATGCTCTCATTTAGAGTAAACTACAATTTAAAGCAGTATACAGTTTAGATCCCAACAGCAAATACCAAAAACAGGTTTTAAAACCGTCGTCCACAAACCAGAGGGTGATATCATCCGTCCTTAATATACAGTTTATGTATACAATAGATTGTAGTTCTACCACTATAATCAACTTTGTCAGTATAATGTTGTAATGTCTAAAATTACACTCTGTAATCTCTGGTGATGTAATAAGAACAGAGTGGTTCAGGTTAGATTCAAAACCAACTGTAACATAAACTACAAACTATTCATTTATTATTCAATCTGCTAGCATGATATTATTAACAGCAGGTTTAGTAAAAAATAATAATAAAAGAGCAATATGGCAACATCAGATTTAATATTTTTTAATTTGCTGTAGCAATGGGGATTATTTTCAATGTCAATTATTTTCTCAATTAATCAATCACTTGTTTGGTCTATGAAACGTCTGAAAATTATGTAAAATCTGTGTTTCTCAAAGCCCAAGACGAGGTCCTTAAATGTCTTGTTTTGTCCACAACCCAAATTATACTGTCACAAAAGATGAAAGAAACCAGAAAACATTTAAATTAAAAGAAACTAGAGTTGGAGAATTTAGTCTCTTCATGATTCATCAATTAATTTTAAACATAAATTGGAAGATTAATGTATAGTTCAAATGATAATTAGTAGCAGCCCTAATGATTGGTTCAGGCTTTGCTATGCAGCTGTCCAGCAGCCCGTCTGATGCAGGCTGCAGAGCATCACGGCAGCAGAGTGAAAGACTGCTTCAAGCTGTCTCTGGCCCACTAGAGCGCCATCAATCACGGCCGACTCTCCACACCCACATGCTCTGAAACCAGCTACCAACCCTCCGCTCTGATCCACAGACCTCAGACTAATTCTGCTCCACAAGAAGAGACCTGCGACGGGCAGATTCAGACGATAAATCCAGCCTCGGTTTATAGCTTGAGCTGCACAGAGGGTTTCTCAGGACGCTGCATGATTCTAAATGCTGACATTATCTGTTCTATGGCACCGTTTTCATGCGATAATCAATAATCTCATTCACTGCTTTTGGACACTAAAATTCCATGGCAGGACTTTTTCAGCCATGCCTGTGATGTCTGCAGCTGACAGTGTGTTTCAGTGGGTGTTTATTGTACTGTGGGTTTGGCCGGTTCCATAGAGCTGCACCATACAGGGAGATCCTACTCATGCATGTCAGTAGGAGCAGCAGCAGCAGCGAGAGTGTTGAAAACCTGCTTCGACACGAAGGCGGTCGGCCCGAAGTCGAGGTCTCATCAGATCAATCTGACAACCCCAAAAGGTCAAACACATAAAAACTCAGAGAAAAGATTCATGGATGTTACGGCCTGCGAACTCATCCCCGGCTGCTGCTAAAATCCCACCAAGCGGAGCGTGGTGAGAAAGGCAGGGAGGGAAATGCCTTAAATAAAAAGACCGTGGTAAGTGCTGCCACATGTGCTATTTATATGCAGCACACACACACTGCAGAGAAACTGCAATCTGCCCCTTGATCTAGCCTGGTTCAGACACATGGAGAATGTGTCGTGGTTTACTGGCCTGGCAGATTGTCAGAAAATATTTGCTTTTTTCCTGCTGGCAGCGGGAGGAAAAGACCGACTGAAATACAGAAGAATTCACTTTCAGGCAATTCCCTCTGCAGATCCGGTGCTAATGTCTGCCTTAGAAGATCAGAGCAGCTCATTCAGTGTTTGGGACCAAGTGCTTTTGAAGGTTTACACAAAGTCAACTTAGCCGACTGTGTAAATATGTTTCGTAACGTGCAATAAATAAGAGAGATTTGTATTGTGTGGAGAGGAAACTAAACAGCAACCACCCAGGTTGAATGTTGCAGCACGGCGGTGTTTAACCTCCAAGCTGCAGACCAGTATGAGGCCACGAGTAAACAGTATGATCATGAGGAGCTTGTGTACTTAATACAGGGCAGTTGGGATTATTTGCTGCAAAATCCCACAAAAAGGGGGATTCTAAACTAGGACCGGTTTCCGTCTTGGCAGTATTTGCCTCTATCCAACTCCTGGTTAATCCAACAATGATGCAAAGAGGTGGAGCATGAGTGGAGCTGAAGCAGGCCATCCAAATATCCTATGTGTGTTCATTATGCATAACTTTAAGCTTTTATATAATTCAAACAGGTGAGTTTTATCAAACTTCACCCACACACAGTTATCAGGAATGGTGAAATCAGCTGTAGAGACCAAAACTGTTTGAGTACCAGGTTGTAAACATGTTTATTTCTGTTGTAAAATTGGACATTTCAACATGGAGGTCTATGGGGATTGACTCACTTTTGGAACCAGCCTCTAGTGGTCATTCCAGGAACTGCAGTTTGTTGGCTCCCTTTTTTTAGCCCAAGGTGTTGTCGCATGGTTATTATCACTCATTTAGCAACACCATCTGAATCTGCTCTGTTCCTATTATGTTTGCAAGAAGCCAGCAAACCTGAGTAAAAAGAGTTTTTCTATGAAGAGATGTCCAATCATCTACAGCGCAATAAATGTTGTGGCTGCTTTTGTGCCGAGGTTTAAGTGCTTTAAGATGCAGCTCCTCCAACGGCCACTAGATGTTGGCTGCAAAAAGCAAGAGAGCATTTAATTGAAAGAGAAAATCTCCTAATTCTGGAGATAATAATTAGCTAGTGAGTGATCATTCTGGCTTTTTAATACCTGATTTGATCACCTCTTAAATGTGTGTATTTGCTCGCGGCAGGTTTCTTCAAATAAGAGACTAAGAACTGATACTGCTTGCTCTTTCACACTTTCTTTGCTTTTTGGCCACATTTCAATTCGCTATCACCAAATTCTGCATGACAGTGTGCAGCATGTTACTTTAGTAGGGTAGTCTATTAATCAGTTAGTTTTCTGGGCTAAGAAATGTCTGAAAATGATGAAAAATGTCAATTAGTGTTTCTCAAATCTTAAGATGACCTCCTGAAATGTCTTGTTTTATCCACAACCCAAAGATATTCAGTTTACTGTCACAGAGGAGGTTAAAACCAGAAAATATAGAAATTTAAGAAGCTGGAATCAGAGGCTTTTTTCAACTATCTATGCTGTACACAGCAGCATAAAAGTGCATGAGGTAGCAAGTTGACGATCAAGCGACTGCAAGTTGTGTGTCTGAAGCTCCTCGTGTTGTTCTAAGCCTGGTAAATATCAGGTACAACATAATTAAACATCTGTGCGTGCTCATTATCCTCAACTATCATCCAAGCCAAAATGTTTAGTCTTAGCATGGCTTGCTAGTTGGCAGAGGGCACACGTCTTCTATCACCAACAGAAAAAAAAAAACACCTGAATTAATTCTATTCATGGAAAAACTGCTTGATCACGAACGTCTCAAACCTCCAAATGACGGCTGGTCAGCTGCCAGCATGCCTTTATTTTCACACTGCACTTAAAACTTCGGCGTCCGGCGAGCTCCAACGCAAACATGCGCCGAGACGAGCTGCCACCTCGGCCGGCCGCCTTTCAGCAGACGTGGAGAGCTGAGAGCTTCCTGTCTGCTTCCCCCTCCTCGTTCCTCGGTAACTTCCCGTCTTTGTCAGCCTCGTCTGAGTCACTGGCTCGCAGCCGCGGAGACGAAACAACTGCGCAGACGCTCACATGCACTTTGGTGTTGTTTCAGGACAACACTTCACATCCAGCAAATCACCATTTCGGGTCACCAGAACCTGACGAGTTCAGCCAAACAGTCGCTCATTTGCAGAACATGAAACTGTCTGTCATCTCATTTTTTGGCAACTCAAAAGGAATCAGAATATCCAGAGCGGAACATGTTTTGTTAGGGTCACAGGCATGAGGCATGTCAAAAGAAAGTTAAAACATTGTAGAACCGTGTTTTGAAATGTCCTACTTTATGCCTGTGATGACATAATAAACATTAAGATATTATTACTGTAAATTTTTTACATCATTTTGTAAGAAAATCTGTATTTGTGGCACATTTACTGCATGTTTTCTTCAATAAGGAGTCTATGTATTTGCTCTGCCGCTGCTAAATAGGAAAACTTAAGTAGAAAATAAACAAGCACAGCCCCCGATTGTCTACGCACAAAGAAAAGTGGTAAGAAAAGCACCGTTTTAATACAGCCTGAGCTGAAAAAACACCAAACCTATCCTTTAATTACAAACTCTTTCTTGTTGCCACAGGAGAGAACACAACTGAAGCATCCGTCACTTTTATTTAAAGAAAAAGCTGCTGTGAAGGACAAGCTGCTAATTACAGGGATGTTTTATTCCATACACCTGTTTGTAGTCCTTTTGTGAGGGACGTCCCTCAGCGCTCCGGCCTTCGGAGAGGCTGCTCGTGGTGTGTTTTCATCACTTGAAACGCGACCACATGATAGAAATGAACTTCCTAAAAAACGCACGCAGTGTTTTCTATTGTCCTGTCAAACAGGGAGGGGCGGTGACCATAGCAACCGCATGAAATCTGTCCTCCAACAAGGCGCCTTCTTCCTGTTTTGGGGGATGACACAGGCGTGAGTGATAGGGGCCCAGGAACTGTGACCGAATGCACCAAAAATACACCGAGGTGACTCAGATGTTATGGAAGCTGTTGTTAGTGCAGAATTCTGCAAAGAAAACGGTGCAATGAAACGGCCACAAACACGCAGTCGCTGCAGGGAAATCACGCAATGACCAAAAAAACAAATAGAAGTTTTTTGTGTAGTTTCTTCATGTCACCAAATGTTTCTTTTCTGCCCCCAGCTGGCCTTTCAGAGGACTGCACCGTCCAAACTCCAGCCTTCACCGACTCCGTGAGGCTTCACAGACAAGCCAAAGGACACTACGGGACCTGGGATATGATGTGTGGAGAGCCGCCACAGGTCAGGAGCTCAGATTAATCACAGTGACATAGAACGCTGCAAACCTGGGGAAACACGAAGCATCCGATGAGGAGCACCTGGAGTTTTTTACTGCCTCATTTCAGGAGGTTTAGCTCTGCCTGCAGGTTCTGCCACGCCTTCCTCTCCTTCTTGTTGGTTTGACACAGAGCTTATTGTTATTCAAATAGCATGTTAGCTGCAGGTAACAGTTAAAAGAGCTCGTCAGGAACAGTCCTTACGGTACCTCGGGGCCATAGTTCAACTTCTCGAGAGGCCACAGTGATGAATGAATTAGTTGACAGATTTTTTTTTTTGAGGCAGGGCTCTTTCCCAGAGAAAAGCCTTTTTCTGTGTGGATATCGCTCATACAGCTAACACTTCATGTACAACACACACGCCCTTCTCCTCACACCACAGAACAAGAATGCACCCGCACAAAGCCTTCAAAGAGACCATCAGCAACAAGACCCCGACCCACATACCGGCATTCACAAGGACACACACTCACACACTTGATTGGGATCTCCCCTCTGAATACGTCCCTTTGAGTCTCTGCTAAAGGTTAATAATACCTGCTCTGTGACTTTACGGCAGTCACCTTTTCTTCATTAACCTCCACGTTTCCCGCCTGTATACGGCACCGGGGGGAGTTTTCAGCTTGTTGTGCTTACAAGAGGTCAAGAGTTAACATTGATTTAGGTTTAGAAGAAACACACTAACTCGCAGCACACTTGTGGTGTTTATATACAAGCTGAAGCACAAGAAGTACTTTAAGAGGCTTTTCTCTTGTCTCTTCGTTTGAATTGTTGGACATCCTAATCTAGAGCAGAGAGTGTTTTATTTATAAGGATATGGGATTGATTTGTGGTTTGTCCACAAACATCTGCAAGCAAATGAAGCGTCTTTCTGTCTTTCTTAAGCGCTAGAATGATTTGAGATAGTAGTAGGGACTAAGAGCATGCAAGAAAAGTATAATTTGTTGTATTTATTCTCCGTTTCAAGGGTAGCCGAGTGTGAGACCACACAGCTATCTGTGAATTTAATCTTCCAAAAGACTTTCAACAGTGTCATCTGCTCCAGATAAAAGTTCCTCTTTGTCACATGATAAAACGTACACAGTTTTCAGTCCAAGTTGGCCAGAATGAACAGAACAAACAGGGTAATACAGAGGAATTCCTGACTAAGAGGCAATTTTCTAAACGTTTTCTAAGTGTAATCAGGTGACAGTATTGTGAGTCATTTTAGGTGAACGTACTGGGTGTGTCAGGAGATACAGAGCGATATTTTAGTAGTTACCAGCATCTTTCAGACATTCCTGTGGATTTATTGTGTAAATACATACGAGAAAAATCTACAGCAAAGCCATCAGTTCAGTATACGACGGTGATCACACTTATAATAAGTCATGTTAGTGTGTGCCATGAGAGAAACAAACACTTGAATGAGCTGTGAGCGTGTTTAAATAAATATTATCCTCTACTTAAGACCAGTGTTTACATTGAGCAAGTAGGAAATGCTTTAAAATAACAACCAGCAGGACACAAATCAGCTCGTAGCATTCAGGAGAGGAATACACAATGATGTCAGCACGACGTCAGCATCAGCAAACAGGAGTGTTAAAATAAACTACCGGCTCATAATAGACCGACAGATAATACCTACAAGGCTGAAGGAAAGTGTCACAGCATGTTTTCTTATTTTCTCCCAGTGAATGTGAACTTTAAAAATCATTGTGTGTGAATCTGCACCTGCTATCAGAATACGGCACATCAATATATTAATTCTACTGTATGAGAGAACAGATCTTTTCTGCGATTATGTGGGAAATTTATGTGCATTTATCTGAAATTGGTTGGAAAATATTAGTTTACCAGAAAGCAGCAAAAATCCAACATATATATACATAATTCACAGCAGTCAAACATGAATATTACTTATATTCCAACACCACTCATTGCCTCAAAGCATCACAATGCACCAACGAAAAATGTATAATTATACCAAGAACAATTAAGAAGAAATATACAATCAAAGACAATAAAATAAGACACTTTGGTAGATGGTAGCAACATAAGAGCAGAAATTAGCAGCTAATTCACATGAAGTACAAGATAGCACAGGTGTAAATAATACAACTAATGACCACTGACTGACTAATGGTGAGGGACAGCAGATATTTTCCAACTATGACAAGTCATGTCTGCTGTGCAAACCTAGTTTTTTACTGATATAAGAAGCACAGACACCCAACAACAAAACACAACATATTGGGAGTATACTAATTAGCATGATAGCACAAGAAGCTAGCACTTACCACAGTGAATTAAAGCCCAGGAGGAGACACTGAGAGGCAGGAAAATCCTCCAGACATCAGCTTAAAGTCTTGTTTGAACCCAGCAGGTGATCAAACAAACAAAACATCCTGTCAAAGTTCTTCCACAAAACCATCCTGCGGCGCGACAGCCGGGCTGTTAGCATGCTAGTTTGACCATCATGGAATGGTACGTGAGCATTAGCAGCAGCCGTCATTATAAAGAGTTCATAAGAGTTTTTTACGGACCAAAACAGTTCGGTGGAGCATTGATGGTTTAAATGGACCGCAATTTAACGAAAGGTATGTTAAAAAAGGTTGTATTTATGGCTCACAGAGGCCACGAATGTGAAAACGACAGTTAGCATGTTAGCTTAGCTTAGCTTACTCGGAGCTGTGCCTCCTGGCTAGCTGGCAGGTGTATCTGTTCTCTAGCACCATCTTGTTTTCTTTTTTTCTTTTTCTTTTTTTAAACAACTTTATCCGAAATAAAATAAAACAGAGGAATTAAGACAAAATATAGAATATTAGGTATTTAAAACATAAGTACAATAATATTAAATACAAAAGTTTGAAGGTTGCATATTAACAATTTTATGGTCTTTTATGTGCCATAAAATACACTGCAGCCCATATAAGGCCTTGTGTTTCATTATTTATTCATACATTTTTCCACAAAAAGTCATAAAAACAAGTCATTTATAATGTCGACTGTAATTGCTTAACTTTAAACCCTAAAAGTTTAGTTTATAATAACTATTTAGAGGCTTTTCAATCAATGTTTCGATAGGTTTTGGACCAAAATGTGTTATAATCTTGTTCTTGTTCACAGCCACCAGTTCAGCAGTAATACAGAGAAAACACCATTTCATTAGGCACCTCCAGACAAACAAGCCTTTAAATAAACGCTCCAGAATACAGTTTGTGTTGTTTGTCAGGTCCCGTGTGTGGAAAAGCAGCCGTGGTCCAGTCACAAGCCGTGCATTAGCCGGAAACACGTTCCACCAAATGTTTAGATTAGCTTCGTTAAAACCTGCTGGAGGTGCAGAGCTTAAAGCCTGTTTGTCAGCTGTGAGGGCAGCGCCTCTGAAAACCAGCCTTCCTGCTGCTCTGTGTCCAGCTGTGTGTCACATCAATCGGCCCTCTGTATCCACCCAACCACACAGGAAAAGAGGCGCTGCACTTTTTTAAGGTTTATTTTTGTTTTTATTTCACTGGAGGATTTTTTTTATGACAACTGTAAAAAAGGAAAATCACTTAGCTGGCATGTTGCTCACAGTATAGACTAAATCTGGTAAAGCCAATGTAGTGTAATGCAAATAGAAATACACAAAATGCATAAATACATTAACGCTGCATGTTGTGTTTTGTGCAGATTTTGGCTAATCTGGTGATGGAGACCCTCCACCCCGAGCTGAGGAACGTGATCGGCCCTCGTCTGAAGGGGAAGCTGCAGCAGAGGCAGAGGAACTGGATGCTGGTGAGTTCCTATCAGTCTGTACGATGCACTGCAACAGTCCAAATATTTACATTCTTAACCGACTCTCTCCCCCAGATCTCCGATGCAGTGTACAAGCAGGTGTTGTCTCAGACCACCGGTCAGTATGAAGCTCTGACGGAAGCCTGCGAGGCCCAGAAAGCTCCGCTGGACGCCAGGCTGCGAACCGACATGGACCAGATCATCACGTCTAAAGAGCACGTCAGCAGCAAGATACGAGGTGAGCACAACGGGCTTTACTTCATGATATTTGGGGAAACGATTTAGAGCTTTAACACACTAAAGAGCCATCATAATCAGTTCATAGTAACTCTGCTAGAACTAAATTCCAGTCGGATGTTTGGCTGAGTCAGCACTAAAATCGTGAAACATAAAGAAGAAGCTGGAGCAAATTCACCAGATGCACCAGATGATTTGCTGCAGAGATCCATCGAAGTCGTCATCCTTGGAAACTGAAAGGTTTTGAGAGCAGTAAACACTTCCCAAAAGAAATACAAATAATTAGCAGGTTGTGGAATGAATAATCTGTCGTCACATCTACACATAGAAGCTGCAAGCAGTTCCTTATGGGATGCTGATTGATCCGAACCACACAGCCTGAAGCACGGCAATGAAGATTCTCATGTAATCATGGGAATCCAGCTGTCTTGTGAGGTTAAAAGCAAATGATGCATGTGAAATCCCTACAAAATAGACATTCAAATCATGGTCAGTTTGCATCATGACTGATAGTTCTACAAACCTACAATTTCATTTTGCAGACACTTTTATCTAAAGTGACGTACATCAGAGTAGATACATCACAAGCAAGGATCTCGTGAGGAGAAAACATCTGCACAGTGGTGATTTTTCTGTAAAACGCAATCCATCAATCCATCACATTATGAGAATGTCAATAAACAATCATGTTTAATGCCATGGATGCTAGTTTTTTCATATAATCATATCAAATACATATTTAAAATTCAGACTCAGATAAAATGACAGATGGTAAATATAGCATGTAATGTGCAATAAGTAAGTAAAATTCAAACATCCTCACAGCGGGCTGTAATGAGGAGGCTTTACACCTGTATGAATACCAGCTGATGAATCATCCAGTGAGTCACCTGCACAAACGATGTCTCGATAAGCTCTGTTGCTGC